GGTAGGTTGTGGTAGGTTGTAGGTTGAATACCGCCGAGGTGTCGGGCATTTTGGACTTCATTAGGGTATAATTTTCAAGACGTTTACAAAACAGTGCGCTCCATATGCATATATAATCACAAGACAACAAACCCAGTTGCTTTCTGGCGGTGATAAGATTTCAGGGTTTTTTTGGTGAAGGCAATACTAGAAAACTTTAGACGTTTTTACCTTGTTTCTTGAGGTTATTATTCCTGCTGGATTGAACTTGATAAGCTTTTTCATGACAGCAACACTACCTTTCATCGCGGCAATATGTACGCATGTACAGCCTTCCTGATGAAAGATACATCCGAAGATAACATTAGATGTGCAGGTTTGTTTGTACTTCGAGAAAAATTCATTTACTTTATGAACAGGCTTTAAATAGCAGCATGAAAGAGTTGAAAGATGCGAACCCTATAATTCCGCCTAAAACTGTTCACTTGGTCGTCGGTCTGACCGTCCGTTTGAAAAGTTTTAAGGTGTACGCATATGCGTGCAACCTAAAGACCGACGAGAAAACAAATTAGAATGCATAAATATGGCCTTTAGATGCGCCCCTTGGCTCCGTTTGCAAAGCTGGTCCATCCTTCGGTCTAATAAATACACAATTCAGTATGGGTTTTAAGAAAAAGATACGTACTGCATTGACTTCCTGTAAAAGGTCTGGTTTGTGTTTGAGGAAGAGCGACACAACTTCTGAATGATCGTTCTGCGCTGCATAGTGTAGAGGTGTTTGACCTTTCTGTAAAACCAAGAAAATAAGAAACAAATATTATTTAACACTCGTAAATGTTTTTTTTTACTAGATTAGAATAATATTTTTTACTTCAATGACAACATGTGAAAAAGTCGATGCCTTATGCCTGCCTTGCTGCGACCGTGATGTTTTCTAGGAATTTGATTAGCGGTTTTTTTTCACGCGATATTACGCAATGTGATTGGTCAGGCAGTGCTGTGACCTTGGCATGAGCGTGTCCGCGCCGTGTTTCTGCCGTGTTCCGCTTATTTGATTGGATGGAGAATAAATTATCGTGCATTATGATTGGCCTGGCGTATCGTTTGCCGTGTCACGACCCTGTTTGTGCCGTGAGCATTTCACAGTCATAAGAGAACTGCTCTAAATACTCACATTATCCACAGCACTGATATCTGCTTGTATTTCTAATAAGTGCTGGCACACGCTGATTCGTCCTTTCTCTGCTGCTAAATGTAGAGGTGTTTTCTTGTCCTGAGATAGAGGAAGAGAGGTAGAATGAGTTTTACTTCAAGCCGATAATTGCTTATCTTAGGTTGAATAATCATCAAACGGATTAAATAAATAAATAAATGAATGAATGAATGGATGAATGGATGGATGAAGGAAGGAAGGAAGGAAGGAAGGAAGAAAGGAAGGAATGGGATAGATATATAGTTGGTAGGATGTTTGGGATGGGAAGAATAGATAGATTGAAGGAAGGATGAGATGAGATGGGATGGATGGAAGACGGAAGAATGTTTAATTTGGGATTGGATGGATATATACCTGGAATGATGTCTGGGATGGGATGGATGGATAGATGAAAGGATTTATCATGACGAGATGGGTTGGATGGATAGTGTGGTTGGACAAATGCATAGACGGTTTAGATGAATGGATGGATGCATGAAAGGTATATGTTCATGGATGAATGAATAAATGATAAATGACCTGACTTCATCATAGTTCTTCTAGAGTCGAACAATAAAGCTTTATCGTCTTACCAGTGTAAGAGCATCTATGCTGGCCATATAACGGCTGGCTAACAAACCAACAAGTTCTTTATGTCCACTCTCTGCCGCCAGATGTAGTGGAGTCAAACCAACCTTTTAAAGTAAAGGAGTTGGAAATTAAGTAAGCCTTAAAATATATCGCATCTCTTTTGGTAATCTGAAGGGTATATGGTACAGGGAGCTCATATATTAAAACCAGGGTGCAAGTCAAGAAGCTCAACATGTAGTACAAAACAAAGCAGTTTCAATATCAAGAGAATCGGAAACCTATTTTTACGTTCTCCAAATTGAGCTGCATTCCGGCGTGCTGCAAGGGTCTATTGTTTCCTCCATCATCAGAAATCATAAAAAAATAGTTTATAAAACTCAATTAATCCTATCACTGACATGGTTTACCTTTGTTTTAGCATTGACATAAGCCTTGTGTTCTAGTAATTCCTGTGCTACCTCTAGGTGACCACGTTCAGCTGCCAAATGAAGTGCCGCTCTCCCTGTCTGGAGTAGTAAAACAAGGATGACAATATGCATACACTTATTTCAATATAATTAGTCGCCTGAAAAGCTACAAAGCTGAGACCGGCAAGGATTATGGGTAGATACATTTTACATGTTTCAACCGCTTGATAACTGTTGATGGACTTGAGATCTTCTACCAGTTACAAGTTAACCTCCTCTAAGTATCCTCAACTGCTGCAGTTTGTGTCAAAAGCTTTACTTGTTGGATATAAAACATTTCCCCATGATTCTCAGCGATAACAGCTTTGTAGGTTTTTGGTGACTAACTTTATTGAACTAAGTATATACTAGAAGAATGAAACCTTCTCAAAAGTATCGTGGATGCTAGGCTAACATGAAACATACAAAAGAAATAACACTTTTTCTCGATGGAATTTGTGGCATTTCTTTTGTATTTCGAAGTCACACTAACCTCGCATCCAAGAACTTTGTAAGAAGGGTGCTTTCTAAGTAATGAAATACATCAATTATCTAAATATTGGTGGATATAGACCCCTTGCAGCACCTTGGAATGTAGCTCAATCTGGGGCACAAAACAATAGGTTTCGATTCTCAGGAGATTAAAATTCATTTGTTTTGTCCCCCAGATCGAGCTCCTTTGACGTCACATGCAAGGGGTCTATGCGATCAATCAAGGAAGCTTTCTTATTTCTGTTTGCACGCTGTCCACAGATGTGAATCTAGGATCTAGGAACTAGAATCTAGAAGTTAGGTTTTATTTCAGAAACAAATACTGTTAATCCAATACACTCCAAGATGTTTTCAAAGGGTTGTCTCAGGCATCCCACAAACCCCCCCTGGATCAATCCCAGACTTCATTGAATCCCACCTAAACGGAATTTTCTACGTTTTATCGTATTGAGAGGACATCGTTTTATAATAATCACGTGACATAAAATTCTTACGTCATCAAATACGTCACCACGTGCTTGAAACTTTAGCAATGTCTTCACCACATCTAGATGACCTTTCTCACTGGCCACGTGTAACGGGGCAAGCCCAACCTGAATCAAAATTATTGCCATTAATAGACGAAAACTTGATGCGAAAACTAAATGCAAACKAATTTAAAATGCAGAAATTCACATTTTTCGTTGCTTTGTGACAAGCCTAAAAGAAAGGCGGATAAATACGTATTTCACAGTCGTTTATTCTACGCAAGCTCATAAAACACAAACTTAGCTTAGTTTTTGAAAACTTACCGTTGAACGTTTATTGACTGCAGCTTGTATCTTGCTTTGAGGCATAGACTCGAGTATTATCTTCAACGTATCATTGTTCCCGGACCTTGAGCAGTCATGTAGAGGCGTCTCTTTGGACTGTTGGGCATTTTGAAATAGAAAATGTTAGATCACAATGACAAGGCTAACAAACCAAATGTAAAAGGTTTTTTTTTTGTCATTAATGTTTTTTTCGCTCTCTACTTTTCAGCCGAAATATTTTTGTCGATGCCAATTTGTGTTACCATTAGCTTCCTAGTTATTCTAGGTTAACCAATAGATCCCTTGAAGCACGTCGTAATGCAGATCAATCTAGAACACATAGCATTAGGTTTCCATTTCTCATGAGACTGAAATTCTTTCGTTTTGGTCTCCAAATATGGCTGCTTTGACGTCACATGCAAGGGGCTCTATACCCTTAGTTTATTTAATTTTACAAAAAAAAAAAAAAAAAAAGTAAATTTAAAAATTAATTCATGTCATTTGATGTAATTTTTCGTGATATAAATAATTGTTATACTTACCGAATGCGTCACTGCGGTGCAGTCAGCACCATATCGTAAGAGAAGCTTTGCTATTGACACTCCAAAGTTTCCTCGAATTGAGGCTTTAGACAACTGGGCTGCGTAGTGCAGAGGTGTTTCACCTTTCTGTCACACGAAAATAGAGATAAATTATTTATTTGCTACTGAGGTTCAGGGAATTCGACTAATTCTTGGGGTGCAACCACAAGTCTCAAAATCCCTTTAGATATAAATAATGATAATAATAATAATAATAAATTTATTTATATAGCGCAAATTCACTAATTATTCTAAGCGCTTGAAACAGCCGCCATGTTGGTTGATATGACAAGATTATTTCTTTAAAAAGTCATTGAAGTTAATAGAATACTTTTTTTTTACTTACATCGGTTGGCATGTTAAGCACGAGCTTTGCAACAGCTTTGGACTTTGATTTGAAAAGGACGATTATGAGTTCTTCTAGCTCTTTCAGACGTCCATTCTTGATGGCATGATGGAGGGGGGTCTCACCGTTCTGTAAGAAAACAAATCAGGATGATGATGATCATCATCATCATCAACATCATTATTGGCAGATAGCACATGCATGGAGAATTAGATTCCGTATTGCATCAGCATCAACATGATCGCCACTACAAATTTCAACATCTCTTTTATCATCTTATAACTTGCATCTTATTTCGATGCCCTCACCTTTGCGCGTCTCGCAGCATCAGCCTTCTCGCTGAGTATTAACTTGAGAGTCGCGAGATTTCCAAACCGTGCAGCAATATGAACCGCTGTTTCACCGTTCTGAAAATCAGAAGACATACGAGAACACAAGAAATTTATTTACAATATCTATAAGCGCTTTTTTTAACTGCCTTAATGCAGCGCAATGTTGAGTGCTCAGTGGAAACTTTTTTAAATTTTGGCTCAAAGCATACAACAATCTGTCAGTCTCTTCCTTATTTTGAAACTGCCTGGATGCGCAATGTTGAGTGCGCAGTTGAGACTTTGTTAAATTTTGGCATACAGTATGTTTTACAACCATCTGTCATCTATTCCGTCAGGTTTCGCTCAACCCCCACTACTACTAAGTGTAGTCATAAGAATAGACGCGACTCACAACTCTTGGTGCATTAACATTTGCTCCACTCTTTATTAACATCTCAGCTACCAATTCACCATCCTTGATTCTTGCTGCGATGTGAAGAGGGGTTTGCTGCTCCTAAAAGCAATCGAAGAAAACAAAGAAGTCAAATAACTGTGATCTGTATTCTTTATCCTTTTTAGCTTGGCTTGGATATAGTATACTAGTATCTCATATAAAGGAACTTCTTGTTTCGTGTACGTATGTTTTAAATTCTTGTTTGTTTACTGAATGCTTTCACCTTGCCACCCTTGAGTTGAACATTCGCTCCAAATCCTAGTAATGTCTGGACGACCAATGGTTTACCGTGTTGAACAGCGATGTGGAGAGCTGTGTAGTCATCCTGAAAAAGTAAGCACACTAATAGCATCACTGAAGAAAATATACTTAATCCTATTATTTGCGGTTTATTGAAAAAGGAATGTTTTAATTTGTGCACTTTTTCCAAAAATTTTTCATCCAAATTTGCTTTGCATTACACTGTGAATACTTCTATTTATATAATAAAACTTTCTGAATTCGAAAACGGTCAAAATACACTACCTTAGTCTTCGTGTCGACCAACGCCCCTTTCGATAGCAACGCCTTGACGACACCCACGTGACCTTTACGTGCGGCAGCGTGAAGGCAAACCGCTCCATCCTAAAAAAATAAAGCTCATAATTTTTGACGTCTCTGGCTAGCAATGCAAAGTGCGCAGTGGTGTTGGTATACATACATACCTTATTTGGCATATGCATAGGAACACCTCTTCTCAGAAATACCAATGCAGTGTCTGGATGACCGGCATGAGCTGCGACATGCATTAATGTACTACCATCCTTTAAGAGAAAGCATCACATTAGTGCTCTAATAGAACAGATTCTTTATGACCGTACTGTGACTGATTGGTTAAGTAAATTGAGAACGTTTGCCCAATACCTGCGATCGAGCATTTTTGGCATATCTTTTTGGCCGAAAGTTGTTTGTAGCTGGAAGGACCAATCATAGTTTTAAACACTGTCACAAGTGGAATAAAAACCCTACTTGTGCATCTAGATGCTCCTTTCAGTCATCATACTGACTAATCAACTTACTTGATCAACTTACTTTGGTTCGTAGATTGACATTAGCTCTAAATTTATCGATCAGAAACTCAGAGATGGAGGAATGGCCTTTCTGTGCCGCTATGTGAAGAGGTGTGCGGTCATGCTACAGCAAAAAAGGTTAGCATTAGAAAATATACATTGAAATCATTTAAAGAATCGATGCGTAAAGAGTAGTTTTATTAGCAGTAAGTTAACGTACATTATCTGCGACGTTTGCATCAGCCTTGGCTGCGAAGAGTAGTTTCACGATAGTTTCATCTCCTTCCATGGCAGCGACGTGTAAAGCTGTTTGCCCATCATTCTGAAAACATGTCAAATGAAATAAAGATTGGCGGTAAGACAGGAACAACAATACGATGTTTTGCGTGATATTTCATTACCCAAACTTGAAATTTTTCGTTTATTTGCACCATATGAAATCCCTATACATTTCAAAGAAAAGATATTCTTATTGACGCGGAGATTCTTCGTTTGTTACCATTCTCGACCCAAGTAAGAGAATGAAATAACAAGACATGTTTGTTGATATAGCGAAAATCTACCTGATTTTTTTTTTGTTTAAAATAGACCTACTTCGTTTGGTGTAATTCATATTCATGTGTCGTCTCATGCGCAATCGTTAAACAAAGAAATAATAATCTAGGGAATGACAAGGGGTCTGTAATTGGAAAACATTGTACCAAGACGAACTAGGTCTATTCAACCAACATGATGTTTAGTGTTTTCGTTGCGGTTTTTGCAAATGTTGTTCCCATCCCCCATTCCCCCGAAAATTTACTAATTTACTGACCAATCTACTCCTATACTGATATTTTCCTACACAGGCAACCCATAACATACAGTGAGTGACGTTAGTAAGAACCAAGAATACTAACGTTTTTGACATCAATGGGACAATTTGACTCGATTAGTATTTTTGTGATTTCTAAGTCTTTCCTCTTGACAGCAGCATGTAAACATGTTTCACCAGTTTCCTGTGAACAAGTCAAACCGTAAATAACCAATTCAGTCATCAAACTTGTAGTTTGTGCGGGATTCCTGTGGTTTTAAACGTCATGGGCTTCCTTTGGCAAAGGCCAGGTTTCTAAGGTAAATTCAAGATATTGCGAAGAAACACTCGAATTTGTCCTGCAATATCCCCAAGTTTTAATTCATATTTTTGACATTTTAAAGCTTTAAATGGCAGAAAAATCACCAAAAAGTAATCTATGTTCACTTCTACATAAGGTAAGCTAACAAAATATTGTTATAGAGTTTATGGCCAGTCAAACGACAGTTTTATTTATAAAGTTTGATATGAATATTTTATTATGAAAACTTTAAAACTAAAAACTTAAAAACAACTTTCACTGCAATACCTTCTATATATTCACAATATACTGCTATGCTTCGCAAAGACAGTAGAAAGCCTTAATAAATAGATGTTACCTTGGAGAACACAAGGATTTTCCTATAATTCCATCAAAGATTTACTGAGTAAAGCTCTAGATAATCAATTGTTGTTGGACTAAAATCCTTTCGCATAATCATTTATAATGAATTGTTATTTTTCAATGAACTGAACTGACCGTTTTTATAAGGTTGACTTGTTGTTCTGCTTGTGAGAAGAGAAGTTCTTTTACCACTTGTTGATTGCCAACAGAAACAGCCAGAAAGAGAGGTGAAGCACCACTCTGTTGATAAATGATAAGGTAAAAAATATATTAATTATACATTGCAACAGAAAATCGTTTATTCTTTTACTTCCCATCCAACGCGGAGTACAAAAGTACGACCTTCGATAATGTAGTCCCGTATTTTTATGCACAGGCTTTTGTAAGTTTAACTGACACATTTCGATGCAAAGGTGGCTGGTCTTACCAAATAAGGCGTGCAAAAGCTCGTTTGGAAGCAGAAAGCCCGTGCATAGAAGTATGGGAATATGGGAATACATTAAATATGCTTGCGTGGCACTGTAATATGTTGCCACAATGTTTACCTTATCTTGTATGAGCTTGCAATCTTTTCCCGAAACTTTAAGTAATATTCGTACGATCTCCAAGGCACCAGACGGCCGGGAGCACGCCATGTGCAGTGGTAGCTGCTCCAGAGGCTGAGAAGCAAATAGGTTATCAAAAACAAGGGCGTAGCCAGGAGGGAGGGGGGGGGGGGGGGGTAAAAAAGGGKGGCTTACGTTTTACCTTTTATTACGAATAAAAGTTGAAATTATCGTATAAAATCCAAAAAAAGCCGCCATTTTGTTGCCAGGAAGGGGGGAGGGGGGCTTTATTAAACATACAAATGTCTAGCAAACGGCGCCGACACAAGACGGTGGCGTGCGTTCATTGCGGCTGGAAGATCGCACTATGTTGTGACGTATTTCCGGGTGCAATTACCACTAAAATAAGGCGAAAATGGACAAAACTTCTCTTTAATTAATTAAATTAATTAATAATGAAGAAAAAAAACTAAGAAACTGCGGCTTTTCATTTTAGCCCTTTGGAAATCGCTTTTCTATCCGAGTAATGTCGCATTTATTTAAAAGCTCTATAAGACGTCGTAAAAAAAGTAGAAGAAGAACATGGTTTGATACACTAGATGCAGGGCCCGAGAATGAAATTAAATATGAATAGTCAGGCGGTAATAAAGAAAACTCAAAGTTCTCTTTCTGCATTGCCATGAAAAATCATTAGAGATTCCAAGTATTCTGGACTTCCTACAAAGAATGTCTAGAACATGTTGGCAAAAGATACAACGAGAACACGAAATTCACGGCTTACGTGCTTCGGGTCTAAGCCCCCAATTGGAAACTCCTTCTGAAATTCATCCTTCTTTCTCATATCTCATGTAGATCTTCACATTTCAGTGTCAGTGGATACGACACGTTTTTCCTCAATATCGACTGAGTAAACATAATTAACTAACGCTGTGCCGGAATCGATAAGAACTTTTGTCGAAAATGACGACATGAGGCTGTCGAAATGTGCAATACTTTTTTCTCTCTTTTTTCTTTTCTTTTAAATTCGAGTAAATTGTCAAAACATTTTTCTTGACTTACCCCAGCCGGAACCGTAGCGTCCACTTTCTTTGTGAGCAACAGTTTAACGATTCCATCCGATCCTGTAGAAGCGGCGTAGTGAAGAGCATTGCGGCCCTCCTGTTGATGAAGATAGAGTAGAAAAATAGTCGGAGTTAGAACTAAACATTAGACTATCCTTGACCAAAAGTAATCATTGCTTGGTTGATATTGAAGGGAGAAAAAATTATAAACGAAAACAGATTTTAAAATGTGGATTCAAAATTAAATGAGAGCGAGAGAAATAGAAAATATATGTTGAACGTCAACTAAACGGGTCGCCATTGCATTAATTAACAGTCGTTCTTAGCCAACAGCGTCTATTTCGTTATAATGGCAGAAAAAAATAAAGAATTACATTTTTTATCGACATGTCTAGTAATCTCGCAAGGTACTTTTTAAATGCGATTTGCCGATCTTTAAAATGTTTCGCATACATAGTTTAACTAGTTAATTTGTCAAGAAATATCTTTATCAGCCTTGCCAAGTAATCCCGCAGTCTACCCAGTTCAGGCTTGTGAACTAATTCTTAAAAGTTTTCATTTTCAAAGTGTGTTTCCTGTAAAAGTTCTCTCATGAGTAATAATAAACATTTTGTTTTTTTAATTAATAAAAAAATAAAACAGAGTACAGTAATTACAAGGAGTACGCGAATGTCGTATCCTTCGTAGCAGCTGTCAACAATTTCAATCTCTTGGTAATCAATTACTGTACAGGTTTCTTTGCTTACAATTGATTAATAATAAATAAGCCAATATTTCGGTCTTCTTTTCTTCTTCTTTTTTCTTCTAATACTGAGTTTTAATAAGTGTTTGCGAACATTTACCTTCCAGTTCTTTTTTGGCACCGAAGACGACGCCATTTTGAAATCAACAGCAATAAAAAGTTATCGTTTTAAGTCAGAATATAAAATTGAACTCAATAAATTACCGTCAGTCGGCCTAAAGGTTGAAGTATAGCCCTCCTATCCAACCAGCATTGGATTTTGGCTTTCACTGGTTTAATCGACTCCTTTTTCTTTTTCGACGATGTTTGATTTCTGGGGCTCATAATCTGAATGCTCAATTAAAACTACCAGTTCATATTCAAACAGTTTTCAACTCAACAAACATCATCTCGAAAGTTAATTGAAAGAAGCTCCTTGTACAGCAGTAATCTCTTAGATGTCAGAGTTCCGGATTTTGCAAATCCCCAAGGAATCTGTTTAAATAATCCCACTAGCAATGCCATTTATTTGCCAGTGAAAGCTTCTTACAATAACAACCCAAGTCCAACAGTCAAAATAACCTTGAATTTACAAAGCAAAGGAAAGGGAAAAAATATCTATATTATTGAAAGCTTTTGGGCGTAGGCACGATTTATTGCAATTGAGAAGCAGTAAAATTAATTACGTCTACAGAGATCTTGTCATTTTTTAACGTTTTTCTTGTAAAGGAAAGCAATGTTTCCGTCCTGTCAAAACTTTTGTCACAACTGTCTTAGCTAAATACACAAAAAAAGACATTTTCAAAAGCCGTTTGAAACATTATCGTTTATTTTCAGACTAGAATAGCGAAACAATAAACCTTCATAAATGCTTTGTGGTTCTCTGCGGGGTTTGAAACACTCGTATTTTGAAATGCTTGGAGAGGTTCTTGAGAAAAACTAAACTTTCTAATGGAAAATATAACACGTGACGGGAACTGGAACCACTAGTACCTACAAGTTCTAAATTGTAGTGAAAATAATTAGGCCAAATAATGAGTCAAAAATGATTCCCATGATTTCTTTCATTCAATTACATTTATAAAAGCCAGAACTGCCTCAACCCAGAATTTTTTCAATTAAAAAAAGAGTTAAAAAGCAGCACTGATTGATTTAATTGACAGTAACTTAAGGAGTATAATTCGGTGAAGGCTTCTGGTGCTTCTTACTGGTGCTTCTCAATTTTTTTTCCTTCCAATACGTGGCTTATTTGATTCAAAAAACGGAAACGAGTGGACGCATTTCCTTAACTACATCGTTTGTTTAGAAATCGTTAGTTTTATTGTCATCAATCATCAAAGGACATGAAGAGCCTCACTACCTCGATACTAAAATCACTTAGCAAAAATCACTATCAAATTCTATCCGTCCACATTTAATTTGTAACTTTAACTTATTTTGCGATTAGTTTTTCTTCGGGAAGTCAGAAAATTGACGTAAATTAAATAATTAATTATTATCATCATCATTATTATTATTATTAATGAAAAAGAGCTGTCACGTGACTTGTGCAATGTCGATTCATATACCACAGCGATGGGGAAATTCTTTTGGCAGACTTTTTTAAAATTCATCATTAAAAGACAGAACTTGATAAAGGTACTTTTAGGAGTACAATTTAATAATAATACTAGGTGTAAAAGACAACGTTTCGCTGTCATCTCGACAACAGTTTACAGTTTTCATCAGACCTGATGATGTTGTCGATTGACAGCGAAACGTTGTCTTTTACAACTAGTATTCTTATTAAAAGAATGAAAGAAAAAAAGAAAGAAAGGAAGAAAGAAAGAAAGGAAGAAAGAAAG